TTGACTACATTGTTCTATGACATGCTATTTCTCCATTTCTACCAAAATCGTCTTTTTATTTACATAGTTAATTTTTTAAAAAGAAAACTTTGCTTCCCCAACTAAGATGAGAGTGAGGTTTTGAGCTTCCTTATTTCTTTTTATTTTTTTGCCTTTTTTTTTTTTGGTGAGGCAATTGGGGTTAAGTGACTTGCCCAGGGTCACACAGCTAGTAAGTGTCAAGTGTCTGAGGCCAGATTTGCACTCAGGTCCTCCTGACTCCAAGGCTGAAGCTCTATCCACTGTGCCACCTAGCTACACCTGAGCTTCCTTACTTTTCCTATTCCTCCATCTTTTTATTTGAATAATCCTCTGTATCACAACAATTATAAGAAATAATGTTATACCTCTTTCCACCCTTCTTAAGTGTTCCAGCTTGATATTCAGGCATGTAGCTGATCTCTTTGTTCAGTCACTGACTCTTAGAAGAGTAATAGAACTCCACAGGAACAAGTCTCTCCTTTCCCTTTCAAAAGATAAGTACCTATTCAACATTTATCTTCCTTTTAAAATTCTTCTGTCTATTAAGTTTTCCTTTGCTTTCCATTTCTCTTCCTAGTTCTGGTTTTCTTAGCTGAGATGAGTGAAAGTTGTGAAATGTCAGCCTGTTATGTTAGGGTTATGCTGAGCTTTTCTTAGCCGCTTAGCACTGTTTTTTCCTTTGACCTAGAGTTCTGGGTCTTGCCACCTTTATGTCTGGGTTTGCTATATCTTGAGATTTCTCTATGGCAGTAACTTGTAAATCAGTCTCTGCACTTTACCATCATTTCCCAGTACTCCTGGCAGCTGGATTATACAGTGAATAGAGCTGGCCTGGAGTCAGGAAGACAGACTTGAGTTCATTTACAGCCTTAGGTACTTACTAGCTCTGTACCCCTCAGTTTCCTCATCTATAAAATGGGGATAATAACAGCATCTAACTCTCATGGTTGTTGTAAGTATCAAATGAGTTAACAATAGAAAGTGCTTAGCACGGTATCTGGCACAGAGTAAGCACTATATAAATGTTAGATGCTATTATTATTTTTCAATGATTTGTTGGTACTTAGTACTCAGTTTTTTTGTTTTATCTTTTGGGAGCTGTCCAGTGATAATGATAAAATACCAAAAAACATATATGGGTATACTCAAAAGCAGTAGGAAGGGAACTAATAGGAAGAGTTTGGAGGATATGAGGAGAAGGGTAGAGAGAAGATTGAGCTGGAGAAATTTGCAAGAGATGAGATCAAGGGCAAATATAGTGGAGTTATCCTTGGCAAGGAGAAGGACCATCTCATTATTAGAGAATGAGGAAAACAAAGAGAGAGCAAGAGGAGATATTAAGGGTTTTGAGGATGGGAAAAAAAGAGAAGATTTGGATTGTTATTTTCATTTTTGGCTACATTTAGCCAATTTTTAAAAAAACTATTTTTGAATTCATGGTAGAGGCAGACACTACTGAACAACAAACTTGTGGGATAAGTTGGAATTTTGGGCAGCCAGGTACTGTAGTGGATAGAGCACTGGGCCTAGTGTCAGGAAGACTGCCTATGCTCAAATCTGGCCTCAGACACTTACTGTGTCACCCTGAGCAAGTTACTTAACCCTCTTTGCCTCAGGTTTCTTCATCTGTAGAATATGCTGAAGAAGTAAATGACCAACCATTCCAGTATCTTTGCCAAGAAAACCACAAATGGCATCATGAACTGAACAAGAGAGAATTGGATTTGGGCCTGAAATTTTTACCCTATCATTCTGTCAGAAGCCCACCTAATTAATTTTTTTTATTTTAAAACATATTTAGTTTGTTTTAATTAGGACCCACCCTTGCCCCATCTCAACTCCCATCCTCCATTGAGAAGACAAGAAAAAGCCCATTACAAACATGTATAGTTAGTCAAAACAAATTTACACATTGCCCATGTTCAAAGTAAATATGTCTCATTCTGCATTCCAAGCCCTTCACCTTTTCTATCAGGAGGTGGGCAGCATGTTTCATCATTAGTCCTCTGGAATCATGTTTGGTCATTACTCTGATCAATTTTAGCAGAATAGTTCCATCACATTTCTATGCCATAATTTGTTCATTCCTCTATTTATTGTCATCCCACTCACATTTACATTCTTTACTCCCTTAGAAAGAGCTATAAGTATTTTTGTATATCCTTAGAATTTGTTTTGCATAGGACTAATCCCTCCCTTCATCTGCCTCCTAACTCATTTTAAAATTAATAGTAGTCATTCAGTTTTTTAACCATCCAGATACCTTTGCTTCATAGTTCCCTAGAATACTAAACTGTTGTCTTCTAATTTTACCCTATACTAGATACAACTGCATGTTGGCACATACCACATAGTGTTGCCCCAACTGATGTTGCTTTGTAAAAACATTAGTTAATAAATTATAATTAAACTCTACCATTAATATCCCCAACCCCATTGTAAAGCTATTCAAGCAGTCACACATTTCTTTATGGTATTTTTTCCTTGTATAATTTCTCCAGTCATGTCCTTATTTCTAATGTAGTGTTTTTCTAGAGCTAGTTGACGTTTAGGAATAACATACTTGGATCTGAGTTCTCCTCTTCAGTATTCCTCATCTCTGACAAAAACTTCTCCCACATTCTATCATTAAACTCTTAAATTCTTCTTCACCTTGTATTATTGACCCTATGTATTTGCTCAAATCATTAAATACATTCTTGCTACTCTATATTCCCTACTGACCTAGAATTTCTTGATAAGCTTCTTCACTTTCTCCTAGTAGATCCCTCTACTGTTTCTTTCTCACTAGTCCTCAGACCTGTAAGTCTAGTGGTTCTTGTATCCTTGGTGCTTTGCATTCTTGAAGAAAGTCCCCAAATCAAGTGGACTTGATCTAGTTCAGATTCACATTCTTTGTTATTACAGCTCTTGCCCTACCAAATCTACTTGGAAAATAATACTGTTCTTTGTTATTGATATCACTATATTAACTATTTAAAACTTTTCTTAGGAGCATACTTCCAAACATTTACTCTCAACTGCTATTAGGATGGGTTTTTGTCATGCCGTGAACACACCATAGCCATCCCTGTTAATAATATGCCATTACTAATTCTCTAAACCTTTGACTTGATCTTCCTCCTTTTTCTCATAGCCTAATTCTCAGGCCCTAACTCAAGTTCCATGAAGCTTTCCTGATTGTTCCAGTCTTCACTGATCTCCCTGTCTTCCAAACTCCAGTGACCTTCGGTGTCTATACCACAGAATTTAGCAGTTATCTATTCTTTAGTATTTTTGTTATTATTCCTTATGTTAGTGTTCTTGTTTCTTTAACTATAGTATACAGCTGGTTCTTGATTAATGCAAAATAATGAATCCGAGGAAGTCTTCACATTATTTGAATTCATATAACATGTCCACTGGACTAGAACCAATTATAATATTTTACTTAATTAAAACTTAGAAAAGTACAAATTCACATACATGCAACCTCTTCGTGGAATTCATTATTTGCACTAATCAGGATCTAGCTGTTAGCTCAAGTCAGGGACTATGTCATATGCTACTTGTTTATCCCTCAGCCTAGAAAAGTATTCGCCACCTACAGTAAAATACCTGATGAATTGTAATACCTTTGCTCTGAGGGAAGGTATATGATATAAAAGATACAAATACCATAGACTGACGTGAAGGGAAAATGGGAGTCTAATCTCAAACGTCAGCATGAAAGGAGCCATAAACTCAGAATAACTGGGAAAGAAGGCTAAGTTAAGTCCTGTTTCTGCATCTACCAGCTTTGTGATGGGCAAGCCATTAAACCTCTTTGAGTCTCAAATTATTTGTCTGTAAAATGAAGACAATGTAAATGGTAACCCAGAACCCTGAGACTTGGAGGCTTCAAGATCACTATATACTTTGTGGCCAAACAAATATAGGTAGATAATATAAATTCAGAAGCAAAGGAGCATTAGTGAAACAGAATACCAAAGCCATAACACAGAATGTATTTATGTACCATCTCATATAGCTGCCACCTCCTTATATGTTTTAAATGTGTTAGTCTCAATTCCCAGTAAACTACTTTGTCTCATCAAGGCAAAGGAAAAAGTATACACCATTTCATTCATGGAACAGTGTGGTATTAGTCTGTATGCACTTGCACACATATGCGCGCTCACACTTAAAAACATCATTTTAAGAAGGATTCTGTAGCCTTCATCAGACTGTCGAAAGGATACATGACCAAAAAAAAAAAAGATTCAGAAGAACATCTACCAAATGTTTTCTACCATGTCTCCTATCTTAAATGCCTAAATTTTCACAGAGGTTGGCATATATTCTAGATAGATAGTACTATTCTGCTGCATTTCTTTTTCTAATCTATCTTTTTAAACAAAACATTCTACATTGCCTCATTTATTCCAGTCATGAGTTAAATTTCATAAAATATCATTGCTATTATTTGGAAATTATATTTACTTCTTTGCATTCACTATATTATAATTATTATAGCAACTAACATTTATGTAGTACTTTTAAAATAATTGTTTTATAATTATTTTAATATGCATAATATATAATTTTATTATTTCATATATAGCTGAGCCCTTACGTAGCATTTCTGACCCTCTTGTGTACTGTGAATTACTGGGCACCTCTATTGCTGTTTTTCCTTTGTCTTTAATGGTGGAATTTATGCCATCTGTAACTTTTTTTTAGCACAAACTTTTATACTGTTAGAAGTAGTGAAAAAAGTAAAGTTAATCTTTTTAGTGGAGATGATGAATAATTATTATTACTAATGCAAAGATAGTCATGACAGTAATCTGATATTAAAAACAAAGTATTCTTTCATGTTTTGTTAAAATCAGTTTTAAATAGAGTATTTTATCATTTTATTTCCTGCATCTAGCCATTGTATTTTGGGTAGAGAGTAAACACATTGGATTGTTTTGCATTACAATATAAATACCTCCTTTTTCCTTTTAATTTTTCAGGTTATGGGGGACAATCTGTTACTGTCATCAGTCTTTCAGTTCTCTCGGAAAATAAGACAATCTATAGACAAGACAGCTGGAAAGATCAGGTAGTATCTTACTTTCCAGATTCATAGTATTTTTCATTACTTAAACTTATTTGCTTGATCCATTTTTTTTAACAAAGGTAAGCTATTTTTAATAAGTATTTGTGTGACTTTTAGAAAGCTTTGTTCATTTTCTAAAAGCATCAACCAATGAACATGTCAATAATAATATTGTTTCCCTTTTTTCCTGGGCTTTTAAATTTTTCTTCCTTTTTTAAAATTTCAAATCCAGTATAGGTCCATTTTTTTCTCAATACAAATTTTTAAAGATTTCTTTGTAACTAGCTTTAACACAAAAATGAAAATAACCATTGATAAAAAGAGGAGACCGGTGAAGTGGTCTCCTTTTACTTACATACAGTTTGAACTATCTGCTTCCAAAAGTATGCTCTTTAATATATCCATAATAGATAGTTTTCAGAAATTAGGCAAAATAATGTGTTAGTCGTTTTGTTGTTTCAAGTTCTAAAACAGGCTAGATTTTAATCATTTTATAAAGCAGAAAACTCTCTTTTAAGAAATTTTTAAATTACCAAAATACCCAATTTCTTTATGATGCAGAAGTATGTGGCTAGAATACTACACTGACTGTAAATCTAGAAACATTCCAAAAAATATTCCTTTATGCTCCCTGTTTCCCTAGTGGCTCTTATCTAGACATGTCAGACTGCCCATTTAGAACCGGTGTGTGTTGGTGACATTACAATAAATATAAAATTATTTGTTTGTATTTTTTCAAAGCTGAAAGAGCCAGAGAAGTATTTGTCAAAATGTATGTAGCCTTATATTAGGGCACTTCCCCTAGAGCTGGGCATATGCTTGGGCCATTTCCACTGACACATATGCTCTAGTCCCTTGCTCTAGGACTTGCATGACCAGAAGCTCTTGTTTGGTCCCTTGGTCCTGTGAATGGGGAACAAGGGAGGGAGGGGAAGGGATAGGAAGGTCTGACTGAAGCAAGAAGAGCTGCCTGTGTAGTGGTCCTTAAGGACCAAGAAGAGATACCTTCCAGTCTCTGTAGAGGTAGTAGCCTTTTTGCTGACATAGCACCAAGGTGAGCTCTTCTGAACTTCCTCGCAGAGAGAGGAAGGAATTTCTCTCCCTTCCTCTACCGTAACGGCAATTATTGTGGCTCTCTGTACAATGTAGCAAAAACATGTGCAAGCCTGAGATCAAATTTTAAGTCTTGTATCCTCTCCTGCTTTATACTTCTTTCTTAGAGCACAGATGACTGAACAGTGATCCTGAAGAGTAGATATTCCCAGCTATGATGGCGACTTCTTTTACTGGAGAGGTGCAGAGGTGTTGAATTAGGTTCTAATTGCCCAATGGGTAGTTGTTCCCTCTAACTCCACCTTTTTCATGGGAGAAAATTACTCTTGACAGAAAGATGAGCCATAAATGCTTGGATGTCACCAAATATGGCAGTTGCCCCTAGTCAGCATTTCCACAGAGTATTAAGTATCAACTTCCTGGGAGCAAAGACAACTTTATAGAACTGCTGTTTCACCTTCCCTTTAGATCTGAGGAGCTCACAAATCACTATATCTTGAAAGTTGCAGGAATGACCTCCCTTTGGGCAGTCAGCACCCAACTATGGGACTCCTAAAATTTCAAGCTCACAAGGTAGCAACCAAGACTGGAGATATATATTTCTGAGGGTGGTTATTTGTGACCTGGGCTCAGGGAAATAAATAATAAATAGAAAAGGCAAAGACTTGAGCTTCATCTCTGACTTACCTAGGCAAGCACATGTTTTCACTGCCATCTGCATGCAGTTGCCAATGTTGCTGGGATGGAGACAGAGAGAGAGTAGTCCCCCTGCATCTCTCTTCTGGAAGTTCAGGAGCTTACAGTGCCAATAAAAATACTGAAAAGACACTTGCTTACTATCATCCTGGATTCTCTGCTCTTTGGGGTTTTGCAACACTACTCTCTCGTAGTTGTCTTTCTACCTATCTGACTGCTCCTTCTTTGCTAGTTTCCTTTGCTAGTTCATCGTCTGTATTGTACCCACTATCAGTACTCCCCAAGTGTCTGTCATACACTCTTTCTCAGTCACCTCAGAAGCTAACATGGGAGCTGATAGCATCTCTGTGTCAATGCCTCCAGCATCTACAAATCCTGCTCCAGTCTGTCTTCTCCAAGTAGCAATCCTACCTCACTGTTTTTTGTTAGACATTTCAAACCGGATATATTGGTGATATCTCAGCATATTGAAAACAGAGCTCATCTTTCTTTCAAAACCTAACCCTATTCCAAACTTACCCAATTTCTGTCAAAGTACCACCTTGCACCTAGTTTACCAGATTCAAAAACTTGGCATTATCTTTGAGTCTTTATTCTCCCTCACTGAACATAGTCGTTTCCGAGGTCTTGCCATTCCTGTTCCTACATTCAGATCCAACCCTGTCTTTCTACTCAAATAGCTCTCCTGGGTTATTAGAACTGCCTCCTACTTGGTCCCAGTATAATACTTATTGACTGGTTGAATTTGTATAAATGCAAGTTTTATTTATTTTTGTTTAATTTACACAATGATCATTAATTTACATTGTTAGAAAAAATGTTTTTGATGAGTAGAATCTAAATTTGTCATATGTTCAACTTTCAACAAGAATCACAATATATACATATACTATGCTTGTGAAGGTGTTGATAATTGATCACATATTTTACATGTAAAAGTTTTGCATAGTTAATTCTGAATATGTTGCTGTTAAAAATTGACTAATGAAATCACAATATTATCTATTGTTAATTATAATGATATACTTCTTCAGTATGAGATTGAACAGATTTTACAAAATGTTGATTGTTTAAATTACTAAAAATACCACAAATGTTATGAGTTTAAAATATGAAAAATAAAATGTTTTCCTTTTCTTGACTTTAGAATACTATTTAAAGACAAAGATCGGAATTGGGAAGAAATAGAGACAAAGTTACGAGCTGAAAGTGAAGTTCCTATTGTGAAAACTTCAAGCATGGTATGGGAGCCCTTTCCTGAGGGGGGAACATGTTAGACATGTCATAAGTCAGAGATTACTTTTAATTTAAAAATTTTTACGAGAATTTATGGGGAAGGTTTACAGTAAATTTATTAGGATGGGTTTTTTCCACAAGCTGTCCCATTGAAGTTCAAATATTGATAGTTTCAGGATATGGAGAAGGAAAGTCTTTGGGGCTTCTCATTATTATATAGTGAACAGCAAGAAGTCAGCGAGAATAGAGAGAGTACTTATTGCCCTTTACATGGTTAATGGAATTGAAATGTCTTTTTTGAGAGCTTGGCAGTTCTTACATACAGTCAGAGATTTACCCTAATCTCGAGGTCTCCACCATATATCCACTTTCCTTACAAAAATTCTTAGAGGGGCAGCTAGGTAGTACAGTGGATAGAGCACCAGCCCTGGACTCGGGAGGATCTGAGTTCAAATCTGGCCTCAGACACAAAATACTCACTAACTGTGTGACCCTGGGCAAGTCACTTAACCCCACTGCCTAGCCAAAAAAAAAAATTTATTAGATACAAGCAACACACATGGATAAAATTGTTATAAAGTTGGTCAAAATCCCATTTGACAAAGTGCTCTTCAGTGTGTGTTTATCATCTTCCTTCCTCATTGTTAAACTAAAGAAAATTTTAGCATGAGGTTTTGGTGTTTTTTTGTTTGTTTCGTTTTTAATTTAAAACCTTTAAATAGAGCCATACTTTCTGGATTTTCATAATTCTTTTTGCTGTTAACATTTATATGGTACCATATGATGTAAAGTGTACCAGGAGAATAAGATCCATATCTATATTTCTGATACAATTTTCATGTCAATTAAGAAATGCTAATTTTGGTATTTTTCTTTTCAGGAGATTTCTTCTATTTTACAGGAGCTGAAAAGAGTTGAAAAGCAGTTACAAGGTAGACACATTTCTAAATTGCCTTTAAGGGAAAAAAGTGATTGTGCTGGAAGTTTTCTTGAGACAGTTGGGATTTTTTTTAATGTTAAGATATTATTTCTTAAACTTTGCTAAATATTTAGCTAGAAATTAGAAATGTAGAGTCCTGCATATAAAAATCCTAAAAAGTACTTTGAAATCAGAGTAGCATACATGAATTTGAAACTAATTGGAAGTCAAATTTTCCACCATTCTTAGTAAAAAATTCATATGGGATTTACATTATCAGTTCATTCACACAAGTACTATCAAGTGTTTATATATTTACATGAAAGTATTTTTTCCTGGATTTTTATTTACTATTTGTAGGTAAGCTATATACATTTATTTTTAAATTTCATTTTATATCGCAACTGTATTTTGAAAATTCTTTGGATGTAATCCATGCTATCACAATTTTACATAATAATAATAAAGCAAGAGTCTGAGTATGCAAAGTAGACATTTGTCTATGACTCATTATCCAATAGAGCATTTATATTAGTGCGTCTCACACATTTCCCAAAGGCCTGTGCTGGGGAAGATGGGGGACAGCAAGAGAAAAAGCAAGCCAGTAGATCAGTGAGATCATAGATCCAATTCCTCTCCCTGTTTTTAAAGTTAGAAAATTCCTTTCATAATACATACATCCTATATTTATTTTGTAATGTCATCTTGCATGTGCTACAGTGGGAGGCTCCAGTGGGCAGTAATGCATAGGAAAGTGCACTTTTTGAATATAGGGAGATATAGTTTGCAAACTTTCTTCGTGGTACACAGATATCTCACTCTTCAGCCTTCAATTGCTTCTTGTTCATAGTGGAGTAAAAAGGAGTAATAGGAGAGAAGTGCTCTTGGCATTCAGTGTAGAGGTCCAAAAAAGTTTCACGTGCTTTCTGAAATGTCCCATGGTGTTGGACGTATGCATACTTTAATGGAGACAATTAACAATCAGGCTGGGGTTCAGAAGAAAAAGGAGCACAAATATGGAGGTGGTACATGCAAAAAACGCATCATCAGAAATAATGAAGAATAGGTCTGTTTCTAATGTTGGAAGTGTCTATGAACTTGATCAACAGTCTAAGCATAAACACTACCAAGTGTGAAATGAGATTATCCAAATGATAGAAGATAATTTTTAGTTATCTAATTTTTGTGGCATGTATAAATAACTTAAACATTTTTTCCTCAACTGCAATTTTTTCCAGTGATCAATGCTATGATTGACCCAGATGGAACTTTGGAAGCTTTGAACAGCTTGGGATTCCCCAGTGCTGTCTTACCAGCCCAGCCAAAACAGAAGTCTAGTCCTGGGAATAACCATGAAGGCCCTGCTCAGACCTCACCCCCTTGCCAGCCAGAAGCTAGGGCTCTTCGTCCCACTGACATCTCCGTCTCAGCTGAATTTGACAATGTGGAATCCGAAGCTGATTTCAGTATACATTTCAATAGATTCAACCCAGAAGGGGAAGAGGAGGATGTCACTGTACATGAATGACTTATTCTTTATTGTTTTTTAAAATTACTTAAATGTGGAATGCCTAGGGATATTGAAAGGGTCACGATGTTGATTTATACAAAGCGAAGTAGCTTGGTCAGCTGCAATGTGGTCACACTTGTTTTCTTTATTGGGGATTCTTGGACTGTCACGATAATCCCTTCAGAACCATTAAGATAGCCATCAATAGAAGGGAGGAAAAGTGAGTTCATGGCAGCTTTGCCCTTGGTGGTTATTGTGTGCTTTGCAAATAGAATTAAAACTGCAGCTTTCCCTTCTTAGACCTTGGTTGTTTTTACTTTTTTTTTTTTCTTAAGCCCTGTTGTGACCTGCAAGCAGACTTCCATCCAACAGATCTGAAACCCCAAGTCTCCCGTGCCAAGCTACCCTCTGAAATGGACTTTTCTTCAGTTTGTACAGATTTCTTAAACAGTTATATTTGTTTCTGAATATTAGGATTTATATTAGGATACAATACCTTTGGGTACAATGACACATTACTGTTCACAGTAAGACAGACATTACAATGCTTTCATTCTTCTGTCCTGAGCTTTTCCAACAGTTACGTGATTTATATAACTTGGTTGCTACGTAAATTGTCCTGAGATTTACAAAGTTAACTATTATGTTTGCACTAAGAATTTGCTGGGAGTGGTAGGTGGACACGTCTATATATCCATAAGGACTACCAGTCTTTTTATGTACATAGGTAATACTGTATTTGTTTTAACCCACAGTGTTTCACTCCACTTTCTGAAAGCTCAATTTGGCACTTTTTCTTTTTCTCTTCTTTTAAAAATGAAAGTAGAAAGATTTCATCATCCATTTCAGTCCAGCTGGCTATTGGAATGATAAAAACAAATTTAAACAGATAGGTGGAGTATATTTTTAAAGAGAAGAACATGTATATTGGTGCAAATAGGCTCTCTGGTGTTACCAAGTTTCTATGTGACGTTTTTAAAAATTTCTCTTGGAATGATCATGAGGTATAAAATTCTTCTTTAGGACTTGAAGAACCAATAGGAATAACTTAGCTGATCCATAGTCTCACTCCCAAGCACATAAATAGCTTCTGTATGTTTCCCTGTAGACTTGATAGTAAATCCCTGTCTCTGCTGTATACCTGTATAAGAACTTGGAAAGACAACTACTAACATAAGACTTTTGGCTAAAACCACTGAATAGAAAGTCTGTGAAAATATCCTATATAAAACTCATTTTCCTTTTGTTGTCCCAGTAAGGTAACATTTGGGTATGTTTAAAAAAATAAAGTAATTGACCTTGTATTTCCAGAACACTGTAATTTGGAGAAATATTAATTCTGTTAAATATAACTAGTAGGCTTGAATTTTCCCTGGATTATATCAGTCTCTAAAGGTTAAAAATACAATTTTTGCAGCTTTTATGAAATGGTCTTTAATATCTCAGCAATAATTCTATACTATAATTGTTTAAGAAAAATACTTGGTCTGTACATTTAAAAACTCAACAGGATTGCTGAAGTCTTGTAAAGTTGGACCAGGTAATAAAAATGCAAAAACCGTTTTTGTAGCAGTGTAAAAAAAAAAAACCTGTTGTATAATGGATCTCATATTTTTCTTTAAATCTAAAAATAAATAAAATATTCTTCATATAAAGCTAAATTCCCCACTCTATTCAAAGGAAGTCTCAAAACAGTTATAGAAAAAATGAAAGGAAGGATAGAAATAGTTCAAAAGAATAAGTAAAATGTTGAAACAGGGTCAGTCCACGTTAAAAAAAAAATTCAGCAAATTAATAACCATCATTCCTTCTTTTCCTCAGTGCCTGGGTACTGAATTTAACCATATGGAAGTGGAAGGTAAGGAGTTACTTAGAAAAATATTACTCTAGAATTGTCTCACAAGATTTTTTTCAAGAGTTTACACATTTTTGTTTGGTGACAAGCATTTGGCCTTTTACTATGTTATTATTTTGTATGAACACATTATTCTCCTTATTTATTTTTGTTACATTTATTACCTATGTTATTTTGTTATGCATTTACAGCTCCATTTTTAAATAAAGTGTTTCTGGAACTTTATGTAATGACTGTGTACATTTAATTTCTTGTGTCCTTTGGGGTTACTGATAACTTTAACTTATTATTAGACAAGGCTTAACAAAAAAACCATCTGAAAGCTTGTAATAGGATACTGTCACTGAAGCCCCATGTGTTTTGGAGTGCTTAAAGGAGAAAATAAACAGTAGCCAGTCACACTATAATAAAGACCATTTCTGATTTTCCATTTCATGCTTAGTTTAATATAGTGCCATATATACAGTGAGGAGGAGAAAGTAAGGCTGGTGACCTTGCATAGCCCTCCCTCACTCAAGTCAAAGTCAATTACAAGTCATGTCATCATCTCCCTGATGTCATGGTCCTCTTCAAGAATGAAGGATAAACACAAATATATACAATGGATTTTTTTTTTACTAATTTTAACTCATGGTCCTATTTCATGGATAGTTTTCATATTTTAAGAAATATCAATGGCACAAAGAATGTTGATTTCTATGAAAAAATTGTCCTTTCCTCTATAAAATCATGGTCTTATTAAACCTCAGCAATTTCTCTTCCATCTCATTTAGTTTCATCATGTCACTAAAATGCTGAAGTGTTACTTAACAAACATCTATAATGTCTCTCTCTACAAACCTATTGAATCAAGGCCAGACCTCTCAGCCTTGCATTCATAGTCCTTTATGATCTGCCCCGAACTCACATATTGTGCTTATTTGTCAATACAAGCCTTCCATTGCAATCAGTTTTCATTGATCTCACAGAAATTAAGTTCATTTATTTTTGTGTTTGTGTCAGTAATATCTAGAATAGTTCTGGCTCCATCATAGATGCTAAATAGTTATTGGTTGATTCATTCTTCTATGCCTTCTTTATATCAAAGTCCTATCTAAAATTCTGCAGAAGAACCACCTCTTCCACAAAAAACTTACGTGACTCTTATAGGCCATAGTCATCTTTATCTTCTCTGAACTTAGCCATTAAGTACTTGAATTAATACTGATGAGTTCTTCTCTTGTTATTTCCTATATACATTTTGCCTTCCCAACAAAATTGTAAGCTCCTTGAGGGCAAGACCTATGTATTTTTAAGAAGAATAATCCCAAAGCACCCCAATCAATCTAAACACATAGTAGGTACCCCCAAAAAAACTTCTTGAATTGATTTGAAATCTAGTAATAATCTCAAAGGAAAGCATTGTTTGCCTGTTAATTATCTCAAAAAATGGTCAGTAGATAGGGGGCATTTATTGAGGCATTTTCCCTGCTTAATAATAATTCAGACCTCCTAAAATCTGCAAGATGTTTTATAATTTTTAATATAGAAATTCAAATGTATACAACATGCCCAAGAGGGATGGTGGCATGGTGCATAAATATAGCTGGCAATGGGATTCAATAAGGCTCAGCTAAAAGCCTTTGACTGCAGTACATACACACAACGTTTCAGTGCCCTAGGCAACTTGTTTAAGTTGTGCTAGTTCTGAACTGCATTGGTAGAGCTGGTGGATACAAAACACAGGTTATGTCCAGTCCAAAAAACTCTAAATTATTGAGTCTGCTATAAGTTTTAATTTAGAGGATTATAAAGCACCCCTCAGTTTCACCAGGTTCTTTAAAAAGTCACAGAACTGTGAAGCTTCAAAAACAGGTAAATTTCTTCATTTTAAAGATAAGATTACAAGTCCGGAGAGCTTTAAGTGACTTCCGCAAATTCTTGTAAGCTAATTAATGTCAAAAGTCAGGATTAAAACTAAGATCTCAACTATAAGCACAGTATTTTTGTCACTGTTACCTTAAAAATACTTTAACTATATACAAACACTTATATACAAATACCTTTTAGAGTTTGACAAAACCAAAGTACATCTTTTTGAAATTTGATCTATATTTTAATAAAAAATGATCGTTTCTTTAAATCACAGATCTCCATAGCTAGAAGGACCTTAGAGATTAACTCTAAACTAAATAAGACTCTCCTTCACAAAACAGGTGGCAAATGGTTCTGTAGAATTTACTTGAAGACTTCAAGTGGGGAGGACCCACTCTGTCCTGGGAAACCCTTTCTGCTCAAGGGTGGTGCTAATTGTTGCTTTCCATGGAGAGAGTTTACCTCTAAAAAATATTTGTTTAAATGTAGACATTTAGGCCATCATCTAGGTAGCTTACTAAGTTTAGTAACTGTTTAATTCTGTGGTGAACTAAGATTGGTTTGTGCTCTCATCTGAGCACTACCTCTAGAATTAAATACCAGGAACCACTTATACCACTATAAATATGTTTTTAACTTGCAGAGAAACAAAATCTAATGTAGAAAAGACTTTCTGACCCGGCTGGTAGAAATAAAACTTTAAAAGATAAAAGTAAATTGTCACTTTTCAATGCCTCTGTCAAACTTTTCTGACTTACCTCTCAACCCTTTGCAATTTGACTTTCAATCTCATCTGTTAATTGAAACCTATCCCAAGTTATCAATGATTTCTGAATTGCCAGATCTGACAGTCTCATATGTGGTCTAATCCTTCTCAGCTTATCTGCTATATTTGACACTGTTGACCACCATCTCTTCCTAGATACTCTCTGCCTTCTGTGTTTTCATGATACTACTCTCTCCTGGTTCTTCTACCCCATCTGACTGCTCCTCAGCTTCCTTTCCTGGCTCATCATCCACGTTATACCCCCTAACGGTGAGTGTTCCTGAGGTTCTGCTCCAGTACTTCTTTTCTATATACTCTCTTGGTAATATCATCACTTCTTATGGGTTTATCATCTCTATGAAGATGACTCCCGCATCTACATATCCATCTCCTGTATCTACCCTGAACTTCAGTGCAGATCATCAGTTACCTAATGGACATTTCAAACTAGATGTCCCACGTTCATCTTAAACACAATACATCAAAAATTGAAACCATTATTATTTTCCCCAAAACCTTTGCTGATCTCCCCAGCTGCTAGTGCCCTCTCTCCCAAGCTACCTTGTATTTAACTAATTTACATATAATCTCCCCCCCCATTAAACTGGGCTCATTGCAAGTAGGAATTATTTCATTTTTTGGTACTCATACAGCACCTACCACAGTGTCTGAAGCATAGAAGGATCTTAATAAATATAACTCCAGCCCACATTTGAGCTCTTCCTCTCCGAATTATTTTATTTTAGTACCTCACAGCTATTCAAGTATTTAGTTGTTCTCTAATTGCGTTATGTAAGGACAGGAAATTGATGTTACAGCACTTTTAGCTTCAGTCCTCACTTAATAGTGTTCTCTACCTTTCATGTCCTATGAATATAGATCTTGGCCTCATTTCACAGTTAAGGGTCGGAAAGAGTTAAATAATTGACAGAAATTTTTTAAAAGCTAATTAAGTCTTAAAACAATCCTCTTCCCTCAAGGTTTAGCTAACCCTAACCCAGGGGTAAGGAACCTGCAGCCTGGAGGCCACATGTAGCCTTCTAGGTCCTAGGGTGTGGCCTTTGACTGGGTCCAAGTTTTACAGAACAAATCCTTTTATTAAGGAGATTTGTTCTGTGAAGTTTGGATTCAAAGGACTGCACTTGAGGACCTAGAGGGCCACATGTGGTCTTGAGGCTGCAGGTTCCTTACCCCTGCCCTAACCCTTTGGAAAACTTTTTCCATTCCCAGCCACACCTTCCTCCAGCTATAGTGTTCTCTCTTCCTCAGACTTTTCTAAAATGCATTGTTTATGTCTCTTTGGCCTCATGGCACTTGACCTTGAATCTGTACAAATATCTACCTACACTCTTCCCTCCCACCCATAATTCTAGATTAAGCTTCTTGGAGGCAGGGACTTTTTATGTTCGTGTCCCATGTGTGTCTTATGTGGTGCTTTGCCAGGGGTGTGCTGGTAAATATTTAACCACGGCCTTTCCAAAACTGCATAACATACTTTTAAATTTAATCTTCATTTTTACCTTTTTTTTTTTATGAGGCAGTTGTGGTTAAGTGACCTGCTCAGAGTCACACAGCCAGTGAGTGTTATGTGTCTGAAACCGGATTTGAACTCAGGTCATCCTGACTCCAGGGCTGGTGCTCTATCCACTGTACCACCTAGCCGTCTCCATTTTTAACATTTTTTGCCATTACTTACTAAGCCTAAACAATCAACCAAACAAGAAAGTAAGCCCTGATTTGTAGCATTTGCTGATTTCTGGGGTATAAATGCTTACACTGAAAATGTAACAGTCACCCTACAGTAGGAAGTTAGAACTGTGATTTCGGTGGTATAAGGAACTTCCAGAAGAGGAAATGCAAGTGGGAAACTTCCCTGTAACTTTATAGTGTCAGAGAGCTCCCTAAAGCACTGAGAGTTTGTGTGACTTGCCCAGGGTCACTGTCAGTATGTGTCAAAGAAGGGACTTGAATGAGGTATTCAAGGCAAGCTCTCTATCTGGTATAGTGGAAGAGAACTGTCTTTGGAGTACGAGGACTGGATTAAAATACCATTTCAAACATTTACTACCTGTATTACCTTGGGCTAGTCACTTAATATTCCTAGTTTTTTCATCTGTAGAAGGAGAAGCTTGAAATAGATGACCTTTAAGGATCCCTTCCAGCTCAAGATCTGTGATCCACTGTTCTTGTAGCCCATTGTAGGCTCTTCCATATTTGTTGAACTGAATGTATATTATCTCTGTCTTGAACACATTAGTTTTTCAATAAATATCTTCTGAACAGATGAAGGTATGTTCTGTCTTTCCACTTAGATTGTAAAGTCCTTAAAAGTAAGGACTATGTCTTTCACCATTTAAAAAACAATCCCCCCATGTTATCTAACACAGGTGTTTGGCACATACACAGGTATTCAAGAAATATTTGTTAAGCTGATTGAGTGTTGCCCACCATAGACCACCAATATCTCTGCACAGCATTTCATCTAGAAGAACTGTTAGGTCAAAAAACAAATCA